AACAACAACAAGAGTTTAACAACTCTTTTTAAAAACGAGTATTTTAAAAACATTTTTATATATTTGTTTATTTTAAATTTCTTCTTTTCTCGGACACTCCAATCAGACAGAATGTGTCATTCTTTCCTAAGAGGAAAGTAATTTTCCCAGAGACTCCCTTAATTCATCAGAGAGATTTGTGGTGGACACAGTGAGACCCAGTCCTTCCTTGTGAAAGTTAGGCTCCTTTGGTCAGTCTTTTGAGTTCTCTAAATGGAGAAACTGGGCCTAGCATGAAGCAGATCCACAGGGAAGCATAGAAAATGCTAACACCAAGACAAGACCATTTCTGGAATATAGGTTTTGTGACTGAGTGGTGCTCAATTGAGATGAGATTCTGAAGTGAGCAGAGTCCTTTTTAGGTCTTAATGCAGGTCAGCTCCAGAGACTTGGGGTTGGTATGGAAGCAAGTCTTCCTAGCAAAATAAGAAATACCAGAATTGTCCTGACAGCTTCAGAAGGTGGAATATCAAGTCGAGGTGATGTGGAGTACTTAGACTTTGGACTTTGGTGTGATAGGAAGCCATGGAAAAACTGTTGATAAAATGTATTCCTTTGATTTAGAAACAAAATGGCAATTTTGTGTGTTTGTGGTTGAGTAGGAATAATTGCTTTGATTTGGGGACAAATGCCAGTTAAGGCAAATAAATGCCTTTTAGGTATCTAGAGGACTCACCTTTCTGGCTTGAATGCTATATAATAGTTCTACAATGTTACAGGTGATATATTTTACTGATATTCTTTAGTAGGGGGCTCAGTGTGCTTTTTTAAAAAAGCCATTTGAAATACCTAGAATGGCATGGAAGTGGAGTTTTGCTTATCATTGCTTTTAGAGGGAGAGCATAAATTTGTAACATTGATTTTGATTTCATAATGAATGAATAGGAAGAAAGGAGGACAGTTGCCTTTGGTACTGGCTACAGAAGATGAATTTTGTTTCCCAAGAACCCAAACTTTGTTTTTTTTCCCCTCACATTGGTGAAGTTTAGAGTTCTCCATCTTAGGACAAATAGTTTTTCCTTTTTCAGTAGAGGCATGCTTGCCCAATTCTGGTCATGTCTTTGGATATACTCAACTGCATGGAGGTAGGAGAGATGTTGAGTCACCACACTGATGGTTTTACATATTATATTAGCTCATTAAAACTAAACCTTGAAAAGTAATAGAAATTACAGGGGTTATAAGTTCTCCAAGGTCTCCTAGTTACTTTTTGTCAGAGCTAGAACTTGAACTCCAGTTCTTTTGGCCCCTAGTCTGGAGTTTTGTTTTGTTTTTCCCTTTAAGATTGTGAAGAATTCATATAGTTTACAGGGCTGCTGGAAATGGAAGAGGGGAGCGTGGGGAGATGTGTGTGGTTCATTCCAAAGCCCCTCCAACAACACCAAAACTCTAGTCTTTTGTGTTCATAGTCATATTTGTAGTAGTAACAGTATTAATAACTTTCTGTATGTCAAGACATTTTTCTAAGCACTTTGCATGAATTGTCTCATTTAATCCTCACAACCACCCTATGTAATTTTATTTCTACATTTTACAGAAAAGAAAGCTGAGGTTTAGGGTGATTAAGTGGTACTTTGGCCGAGGTCATATAGGTAATTAGCAATAGAGCTGGAACTTGAACCCAGTCAGATTCCAAAACCTATATTCTTTTTTTTGGGTGGCTGGCTGGTATGGGGATCTGAACCTTTGACCTTGGTGTTATCAGTACCACACTACCCAGTGAGCTAACTGGCCATCTCTGAAGCTTATATTCTTAACCTCTAGGAATCATAATTCCAAATTATATTTCTACAGCTAGTTTACAGTAGAACAAATCATTCCAAGGACTGTGCTATTAGTGAGTGATTTTTTTTTGCCCTGGTATCTGGTTGGCATAGTCTGTTGTTTGGTCCTTCTGGATGTTTGACTTGGTTTAACTTCTGGTATCATTGCCATTGCTTGAATGAGGGAGCTTTGCTATAAAGTCTGTGTAGTAGTGGGATGGTCTTTCTAGTGTGGGTGGGATCCAGTAATATAGGACCTATGACTTGTAAGGGTAAAGCCAGCTATTCTCAGAAAATCTAGTCTTAGGGGAATAACAAGGTTTACTTTATGTGCCCCCTTCTCACTTCGGGAATTCTTTGATGGTCTTTTTTGGTGAGAGCAAGTATAATCCATTTGAAAATATTCTGTGGCAAACCTAGAAAGATGTTGGACTGGACTCAAGGCTTTACTGACTCTATCTGCTAAAGTCAGTTAATGATTTGCAGGTTCTGGTGTATAGCATAGTCTTTTTATGATGTGTATGGCATGGAGAAAAACCTTTTTCCTCAAGTCTCTGAGTGATAAGCCGTCTACTGTAAGTTGCCAACAGCTTCATTCTCTTCCCCCACTCATGCTTGCTTTTTCCTCCCGTTTTTTTTTTTTTTTTTTTTTTTTTTTTTTTTTTTTTTTTTAAAAGATGACCGGTAAGGGGATCTTAACCCTTGACCTGGTGTTGTCAGCACCACGCTCAGCCAGTGAGCGAACCGGCCATCCCTATATGGGATCCGAACCCGGGGCCTTGGTGTTATCAGCACCGCACTCTCCCGAGTGAGCCACTGGGCCGGCCCATTTCCTCCCGTTTTTTTTTTTTTTTAAAAGATGACCGGTAAGGGGATCTTAACCCTTGACCTGGTGTTGTCAGCACCACGCTCAGCCAGTGAGCGAACCGGCCATCCCTATATGGGATCCGAACCCGGGGCCTTGGTGTTATCAGCACCGCACTCTCCCGAGTGAGCCACTGGGCCGGCCCATTTCCTCCCGTTTTTTCCCTGTTCTACCACATATATCTTATGTGGACATTATGGATAACTGCTTAGCCTAAAGAAAAATGGAAACTTTTTCTTTCCCGTATTTCCTGTGATGGTTAAGAAGAAAGCTCTCAAAGGTTGTAGGGGAGAGGAATCGGACCATCGGTCTTATACTGCACTTCTACTTGGACTTGACAGCATGGTATAGAAAGAGGATGCAGGCTTTGAAATGGCAGAAACTTAGGTTTAAATTCAAGATTTGCTATTAACCGTGAATCCTTGGGTAATTTCTTCACCTATAAGTCTATTTTCTCATTTGTAATAAATTACTTCCTTAGGGTTGTAAGGATTACCAAGGTAATAAATGTAAACCATTCAATAATTGTTAGTTCTTTTTACGCTCCCTTTTTCTGTGGTAATAAACTAAGGCCCCAAATAAGGAATCAAAAACTTATAACAGTTGTGTAGTGCTGTGAGGACTGCCAGGCACTAGAGAAGTGACCTCTGTTGCAGAAGCACTGGTCTACATGGGACCTCCTAGTAAATAGAGTTGGAGTAGGGAAACCAGCTCATCCACTCCTTAGAACCCAGTTATGCTCTCGATCCAGTTAATTTTATCTACTAGTTCACAAAATAGTTTGGGGCTGAGACATTACCATGAAGTAATGTAATTGGAAGATAGAAACTAACTCTTGAAACAACTTAATACCTCACATTTGTATAACATACATTATTATCTCACCTTATCCTCACAGCAACTCTGTGAGTCTATCCCAGTTAGACTGGGCTGGTGGTATTGGCATCTTAACAGATGAGAACATGGCAGGGACTACTGCTGTTGTTGGCTAGTGGCAGAGCCAGGACGGCTCTAAGCTATAGCTTCTGCTATTGCTCTCTTTCTGGCAAAAAATTTCTGCATGCTTTTAGACCTAGGAATCTGATCTCTTTCTACTTAACTGTGCTGTCCTCTTCTCCAAATTAGAGCCAGGTGGTCAGCTTTAAAACCCTGAAGATGGGGGAAGCTAATGCTTCTAGATATTGCTTTCTGATCTAGATCTCTGGGTATTTTTCCTACCTTCCTAACCTCCTTTAATGAATTAAAGTTGTGGGGACAAAAAGTAGCCATTTATGGTAGGGTGACAAACAGTTTCTCTCTGCAGCAGGGAGTGTTGTCACTGTATGCCACATGGTAGTGGTAGTTTGGGCTTTTATTAGCAAAGAAGATTATAGGGTGGTAACTGCAGTTCAGGCTCTGTTGAAACTCAGTAACTGGAAGAATCTCTCTTGAGCTCAGAGTCCTCTTGGTGTGGAAGGTTCATAGGTCATTGTATATAGCGGATAATGGCTAGTGCTTAAAATGAAGGGGAGCAACTTTTTTTAAAATAAGGATACTTATTAAAGAAAGACCTTTGAGTGGCTTGTTAAAATATAGGGTGAGAATATGAGAAAGTGGCAGTGGGCTTTGGATTGAAAGGAAGAACTGCAGTTGATAAGTGATTGTGGGATCCCAGAACTGGGGTAGGAGGATTTTAGGAAAGGGCTACCACGTTCTCAGATTTAGGGACTGAATTAATTTAGGAATTTATTAGGCACCTGTTTATCAGTTTCCTCTGGGTACTCTTGCTTGCTGAATGCTGCATACACTTTAAGGCAAACAGGCCCAAGCATTTGTGCTTGGTGGGGCTCTGGGGAGCGTGGGAAAAGGAACTGAAGCAAAAGGCCCAGCCTAGGCCAGTCCCCACATGTCTTCCCCACCGTGACTATTGCATTGGTTTCTCAATGTCTTTGTGGGCATGCTGGGACTAGGCTTTGAGGTTTCTGCCTTAGGGGTGGGAAGGAGGGGGAAGGGCATTCCAACAGCAATTTTTTTTTTTCCCATTTGGTTGCTGGGAACAGGGGTTAGGTGGATTTTTATCCATATTATAACCTGTTCTTGGTTATGTATGGAAGTACAACTAGAGGAACTCTGACATGACAGTAGAATCCAGGTTTTAATGAAAACTATAGCCAAGGCCCAGGTATCTGAACATAGCCAAGTCTAAAGAGCTTTTGTCGCATTAAGCAATTCTGAGTCATATTTTAAATCACTTCCTTTCATTCCCAATATCTTTCCTTGCTGCTCTTGTTTTTATGTATTGGGTGTATTTTATTTTCCTCTCATTCCCATTTTTCCTTCAAATATTTCTGCAGCTCTCTCCTTCCTGCTTCCTCCTTGCTGTGGTGGCTGGGATGCTTCTTCCATGATTCTTTGAATCTAGACTGGGCTGTTCTCTGTATTAAACCAATCAATTACGACCTTCTATTAACAGGTGTGTATGGAAATATGTTTATTAAGAATTAAAAAAAATCTTTTTAAGTGCTTTTTTTCTTTAGGGGTTGATGAGAGGGTGGGGAATAGGGGAGAGGATTTGTTCCAAAACCTGCCTTTCAACATTGTATATTTTGGAGTGGCCACAAAGTCTCCTGTAGCTATAAGAGAGAAAACTCAAGTCCAACAGTATGACTGTAAAGGCTCTCCATTTACTAGCCAACCTGCTGTTTATATAAGGGGGAGCTCTTCTATATAATTATAATTTATTGTATAAATAGCACACATAAACCCTCTAGATACTTGGATATTACCCTGAGTTGGAATAAGTGAAAGGGTGAAAAGATAGTCTTTTCAGAGCTTTCTGCAGGATTACAGAGATGTAGGAAGTTTCAGCTATTGATCTCTGGAGCTTAGTATATGAACAAGTTTGAAGCACAGTTTTAGAGTTTGAGCCTAATGCTCGTTTTCCTCCCCCTGAAGAGGTGAAGGTCCCTGCAAATAGTGCTTTTTTTTTTTTTTTTTTTTGGTGCTGGCCGGACAGGATCTGGGATTTGAACCTGTTACCTTGGTGTTATAAGGCTGCACGCTCACCAACTGTAGAGTTTTTTGTGGTTCTGTCGCTCTCTTGTCTCCATTAGTGAAGGCACACATTTTGCCCTCAATATTGAAGTATAATTTTGGAAAGTAGAAAGTCCCCTTTATAAAAGTATTAAACATGGAGGCCTTAATTTTGTCTTCCACCTTTGATGATGGGAAGTTTTTTACTACTTCCATTTCTTAGTTGGCATTTTAATTTACCATATTAATTTAGTATATTTTGCCACTATTGCAGCAGTTTCAGTGTTTGATTTGGGAGAGGTTAAGTAAGATCTGTACTGCTCCAGTATCTCTAGAAGTGGCTTTTCCCTGCAGGACAGTGAGTGCTTGTCTGTACTGTGGAGTTACAACTTTCATTGAGTTGATACCAGCAAATTTTTACAGGGAAAAGTAATCTAATTTAATCTCATGTCATGACCATAGTTCTTAGCCACATTCTCCCTATCCTACCAACAGTGTAGAGACTTGGATCTATTACATCTTTTCTTTCAGTGGTTATTTCTGGTGGGTTGTTGAAGAGGGTAGCAGGCGAAGGATCCTGCTTGAGCAGACACTGGTGATGGACTCCCAGGCTTGGTGGTGGCTTGCTTTTTGCACTGCAATAAAACCATGAGAGGGCATCTTTGGCTCTGGGATGAATAATTCATCTGTCTTCTCTGACCTGTGACCTTTTCTCTCCTCTCTCTTACCCTTTCCCAGTAGTGTGAAGTGAGGGGGGCCTTCTCCCTCCTATCTCCTCTCTCTGTGATCCACCTTCCTTTATAAACCCTGCCCTGCGGCGGCTCTGCCCCTTACCTTCATGGACGACTCAGAGGTGGAGTCGACCGCCAGCATCTTGGCCTCTGTGAAGGAACAAGAGGCCCAGTTTGAGAAGCTGACCCGGGCGCTGGAGGAAGAACGGCGCCACGTCTCGGCGCAACTGGAACGCGTCCGGGTCTCACCACAAGATGCCAACCCACTCATGGCCAACGGCACCCTCACCCGTCGGCATCAGGTAACCCCTCTCTCCATCAGACCTGCAGGTAGGACTTTGGCATGGTCACAGAGAGGCTATAATTCTTCTTAAGAAGCTACTCTCCTCTTGATGATGGGCTGTCCGGTGCCCGTGCTTCATGAAGAACCTTTCCAGGGGTAACAAATACTGATTAACAGATAGGAATATTGCTGCTGTGCTGAGTTGGGTGGACTTCTTCTAGAAGCATCCACCTGACTTCCTGTTTTTTTCTGGGTTGGGATTCAGTTCTGGTAATGGTATATAGAATAATTTGGAGCTGTACTCAAGTTACTTCTGTTTTCTTTGATTTGTTTTCTTGGTATTAAAAATCCAGGAAAGTAAATGCCCACTTAGTAGATGGGGAAGTTGGGCATTTTGTGCTCTCAGCTCCAGTTCAGTCTCCCTCAGGGAACAGTTTGTTCTCAGAAGGTATGGCAGTGTCTGTAAATTGTGTATTCCTGCTCCATATCATCTGTCCTTGTGTGCTTTTTTTGGTTATGTAAATCATGTCTTGGAGGAAGGGGTCATTGTTAATTCTGTTGGTTAAAGTTGGAGAGGGAGCATCATGCTGCTATTTAACCCAAATAACCACAGGAGCCAGTGGTCTCTGGGTTGGCTGACTCTGATGTGACTTGGGCTAGTTGGTGTTAGAAATGAGAAGTATCTTATGTTTCTTATGGTTTTTCTAGTCTGACTTTGGTGTGATGTAATCCGTCTGAGGTTTTGTCCATCTGTGTGTGTGTGTGTGTGTGTGTGTGTAAGAGAGACGAGAGTGATAGGCATTGCCTGATATGATAAGCTGCATCTTAAGAGATCTCTGGGTGGGAACCAGAGTGGTGCTCATGTCCCGATAGTCATTTTCATTGATTATTTATTTATTTTATCAGGTAGAGAAGGTCCCTCATGCTGAGGAGCCTGTAATTGAGTGAGAGGACAGAATTCCAATGGGGGATAATCAGGAATTTGAAGGAAGCTGTGTGTTTGTAATGTTCCTAGGATTTTCATGGGAACTAGAGTAGGGGGTTAGAGATGAGATGTATATATATATAATTCAAAGGGGAGAGCAGGACTGCTCAGGCCTGGAGGTAGTGGGGAATTCCAGGATTTAGTACGTGGTTTCTCTCTCTTGCTCTTTCTTATTTTTAACTTCTGTTCAGCAATGAAACCACACCCTTCCTTCTTCCTGAAAGTAATGTTTAACTTCCTCTGCCTGCCGCCTTATACTCTCTATGTAATGGGAATGGGGTGGAGGAAAAGTCTCTCCAAGTGGCTGGATCTCACGTATTCTATTGGAAGCAGAGCAGCCAAATGTATTTTTATGTGGTATAATGTAATTAGATTATTTCTTGCTGCTTAGGACAGAATACCTTACTGGTGGCATTTTGGAATGTGTTCTGTGGCTCTAATAATTGGTGGTAAAGATGTTGAGATTTCAGTTTTCTTGAGGGGAATTGTTTTCTTCATACTTGGAAAGGGAGACTCATATCTCTTGCTTCTTTCTTTAAAAAGCTGCCTGGAATGGGAGTTTCTAATGGTAGTAGAGCATGAAGATTCATGGGACAATAAAGGCTTTTGGAAACCCCCTAAGCTATCCTTTCCAACTTTCCTTATATTTGTATGGCTTTCCAAAAAAGCACGTACGGGAACTTATCTGAGTCTCTGCTATTTATTCAGCTTGCAGTTTTTTGAATGCCTATTATGTGCCAGGCACTGCTCAAGGCACTTGGGATACATCATTGAACAAAACTGACCGAAAAAAAAAGCCCTCTGCCCTCATGGAGCTTACGTTCTTATGTTCCAGAAACCCAGTCTGCCAAAGTTCCGGGCCTGATTCCAATTTTGAGGAAAGTGCTAAGACTAAGGAGTGATGAGGTTCTTTTATGAGTACTGGCACAAGGACTTCAGGCCACAAATATCTTCTTGAAAGCCCTTTTCCTGTTCGGAAAAAAAGATCATATGTGTTTGATAGAGCAAAGGAAGGCCACAAAATGAATTGTCTTCTTGTGGGCTGTGTTTCAGAACGGCCGGTTTGTGGGCGATGCTGACCTTGAGAGACAGAAATTTTCAGATTTGAAACTCAACGGACCCCAGGTAATTCTTTTGACTCAAGGCCTGGGTTGCTTCATTCGTATTACTTCCCCAGCCTATAAGAACATATTGGTGTCTTGTAAAGTGCCTGGTACATTGTAAACACCGTTCATTAGTTTCTCTCATTTAGGAAAATAAGAAATGCAGTTTTTGTTTTGGAATGAATTTTAATGACCATTGATTTTTATCACTACTCTCCCCCACCATTTGATTCCCAGGTACTGCATTCCTTTTCTAGAGAAGGCATGTTTTTACTTTGCAGAAAACCCTACCTAAAACATGGCTGGTCTTGAGCCATAGGCAAGATCTGAAGAGTAACACAGAGCCAGTCATAGGAAGGGTCTTACTGGGATTTTCTGGTTTATCTTAAAAATTCTTTGTTTATTGGGTGAGCTACTCTTCTGAAAGGTTTCTCAAATGTAGATGTTACTGTGGCTAACACAGTTCATATTCCCTTAGATGACCAGAACTGGAAAGTTAAGTCTGCCTTCTCTGTCGCATGGATGTCACTGTGGCTATAGTTAACTCAGTTTGTGTTTGTTAAATGACTAGAACTGGGAAATAATATCTACTGTTCTTTGTACAAGTCTGAAAGATGACGGCCACCTCTCTAAAAATCTTGAGGCATATAGAAGATGCCTCAGGAGACTGTTTCCAGAGGCACTTAGCTTCTTACTAGGATGGATTGTTAATACATATTGCTTAATATCAGCATCTTTTTCTCTTTTCCAAATAGGATCACAGTCACCTTCTGTATAGCACCATCCCCAGGATGCAGGAGCCAGGGCAGATTGTGGAGACCTACACAGAAGAGGACCCTGAAGGAGCCATGTCTGTTGTCTCTGTGGAGACCTCGGATGATGGGACCACTCGGCGCACAGAGACCACAGTAAGCTAAGACTTGCATAAGTTCTGGGAGTGATAAAAGAGGTCTTCCTGTGGTCTCTATTAGAAAAGGGGTCAAGCAGTTATTTAGGGTGAATGAAAGGCTGCTGATCCATAGTGATGGCATAGAGAAGGTGTCTCTGGCCAGATAGAAAAGATACGGAAAAAGAGATTACAGGAAAATCTAATGGAATGGAGAAGAGAAAAGGTATATATACTAAAGGTCTCTAGTAGCTTCCCTTTTATAGGCATACTTACTGCTTGGGAACTTCCTATAGGAAGGAAAGAAAAGTAGATGGTTGACTGTAAGGCATTTCTAGGTAAAATGACCTAGAGGTAGGAGTTTGTTTCTTAGAGTGGTCTAGAATTTAAACTTATATTGCTCACTTCCTTCATTAGTTTGTTTTCTTTTTCTCATTCCTTACTTGAAGGTCAAGAAAGTAGTGAAGACTGTGACAACACGGACAGTACAGCCAGTCCCTATGGGACCAGACGGGCTGCCTGTGGATGCCTCATCAGTTTCTAACAACTATATCCAGACTTTGGGTCGTGACTTCCGCAAAAATGGCAATGCGGGACCTGGTCCCTATGTGGGGCAAGCAGGCACTGCCACCCTTCCGAGGAACTTCCACTACCCTCCAGATGGATACAGCCGTCACTATGAAGATGGTTATCCAGGTGGCAGTGACAACTATGGCAGTCTGTCCCGCGTGACCCGCATTGAGGAGCGGTATAGGCCTAGCATGGAAGGCTACCGGGCACCCAGTAGACAGGATGTCTACGGGCCCCAGCCTCAAGTTCGGGTAGGTGGGAGCAGCGTGGATCTGCATCGCTTTCATCCAGAGCCTTATGGGCTAGAGGATGACCAGCGTAGCATGGGCTATGATGACCTGGATTATGGCATGATGTCTGATTATGGGACTGCTCGTCGGACTGGAACGCCCTCTGATGCTCGCCGACGCCTCAGGTAGGCAAGAATAGAGGGAAAAGGTCTTTCTAACATAGGGAAAAGGATAGCTTTTCTTTCTACTTCTAAGACCTTTTTGGGATCAGAGACATTTGTGGCCTCCTCCCCACTGCCTTTTTTTTTTTTTTTTTTTTTTGGAAGGCCATCCT